CAAAGCTGCCAGGTGTTATCAGCGACGTGCTGTTCATTGTGTGACAAACAGAGGGTTTGTAGGAATGTTTTAAAATAAAATAATAAAACAAACTATAAGGACACAGATAAGGGGATTGAAGGAAGCCAAAATGTTCCATTTAAGCACATTTTATTCAAGTTTAGCTTATTTTGTATGTTTGCATTTGTTATTCAAATCCATTGTAGTACAGAATTGTATTGTTCGAGTATAACAACAGGAAGACAGCATTAAAAGAAAACAATACAAGACAGCGTAAAAAAAGACAGTAAAGACAGCGGTGGTTGTGCTGCGCACCCGGCTCTCTCAGGCTGTTCCAAACTTCAGGTAGGACATTCTCTGGAGTCCTACTGGGGAGGGAATGACTCCAGCTTCAGAGGACCACACACACCCGATCTACGATGAAGCGCCCCCAGCTGCGCGTTGAAAGCGCCTCCAGAGCCATCAGTGCCTCTACCTGAACAACATGCCTGATAAAGGACCAAGCTACACAACTATAATATCTACATGTTTTAAAATTACTATACCTGCTACGCGGCGACACCCAAACACACACACAAGCCGAGCGACCAGCACCCGGAAGTACAGACGGCAAGCGGGACAACGTCAATATTCTGAAGGTTCTTATAGTGTGCCGTCTGGCGCCCCCAGCTGGTGGGCGGATAAACTGTCCACACTACTACAATTGTATACGGCCCCTTTACTACGGAATACATTAACACTTTGATTGTAATTCAGCTCTTGCTTGTTTACATCAGAACTTGTTTACTTAGAAATTCACATTTGTTCTGTTTTATAAAAGAGGCTTATCCCATTGGCTGCTTTATTGACGGAGTACAGAATACAAATATCTATTTCATAATACTAATGGACCTTGTATTTTGCAGAAAAAAAACACCAACAGAACATTCTGTCATTGTTCATTCACAGTGTTCTGAGCTACAATTGTTAACAATGGCGCTTCCATTTTTCCCCAAGTCTGGCCTTATTGGTGCTTTTGTTGATGAAAAACTACCTTGAAAAATATCTATTCTTAAAAGAGATGTAATCAATACCATGGTATGAAACACCTGCTTATTTTTTCAGTTCCAGGAATAATGTGTCCCTTCAATAGAATTATTACCCATTTGCCGCTGTACTGTTTAAATTTAGTTATCTTAAAGCTGGGGTACTTAACTTTGCTGTTGTTTAACAAATGTGTGTCACTGACGGCTCCGTCGGCGTTGCAGCGCGGCAGAGGCGGTGAGTACACGGACTGGATGCATGCAGCGGAAGCAGGAGTTGAACTTTTTCATCCGGCCTCACCAGCAGCAACCAATCAGAGAGACGCAAAGTGGCCACGGGGACACTGGCGGTCTGAGCGAGCAGACTGTTTGATACTCGTAAACAACCAAAAGAGGAGCTAAACCAGGACTAAACCAGGACTGACAATGGGGGACACAGTGCTTATGAACATATGCTTGCTGTTGGGAAGTACTGTTTAATGATAAAATAAACTTAAGGAACACCTCCGTGAACACATACTGCTGTTATATAAAGTCTCTGGAAGTCTCAGGACACAGAGACTGCATTCTTGGAGAATAACTTTACACAAAAAGCCGCTAGCTTAACCCTGTTAGCATCAAAGCCCGCCCGCGACTTCTGCCCTGCTACCGCCACTTCCCCCGTGCATCACAGCAGGGCAGTACTTATTCACGTGGCTGAAATGTTGTAAGTGCGCATGGAAGCTGCGTTCAAGCGCAAGTGGGGAGGCATGTTCACACTGGGGTTATGGTTTGGTTTATGGCCGATTTATCTGTGTTTTCCTAGCCTGGTTGTACCACACCTAAGTACAAATTTAATTTCATACTAAGGTCTGGATTTGCTCCATTGAGCTCCGTGAACAGGTGGGAGGGGTTAACTCCTTTTGCAGATTGAAACGATTGGATCTGAGTTTACCGTGACATATGTAATGCGCCTGAGTGTGTTGTTAGCATTAGCATTTAGCCTAGCCATCTCCTTTGCTGCTAACGGAGCCCGTGGGGAGTAGCGCCACAATCTTGACCAGCGATTACATTTGCTAAACATTCCTCTTGCTCCTGCTTCAATTTCTTGATAAAACCAGACCGGATTACTTTACTATTGCAATCTTCACCACTGTCAAACTACAACCTGCCCGTTCAGCGCAAACTCTTGACGTCACCGGCACCGACCTACAACGCGCTCCCTGAGTAGCCGGTCGAAATACGACCGATTGTAATCTCTAACACAGGGACCAGACCCAGACGTTACATGCAGTGAAACGATGATTGAGCGGAGTGTACGGATGGCTATGGCCAGGCTAGTGTTTTTCCAAAACCCCTATCAATTTGTTATGGGTTATTCCAGGGGAGGGGATAACCAGTGGGGGCGGGTCCCGGCTCAAAAGTGGCCAAAATGACGTGCGCTGACATGCTTGCAATACCACCCCGGGCCGATGGGGGTGGACCCAGAAGAAGAATTAGCCAATGCTAACATATAGCGTTGGCAGACGTCTCAAAAACGTCTTTACAGGATGGACCAAAAGTTGGCTCTTGGGCCAAAGCTCCGTTCCACATGTGTGTCAATGCTGAGGGGGTGAATTTTTTTGGTCCACTCTAGTTTACTTGCTGTGAATTTTTGAAGTCTCTTGTTCAAATGAATGGAGTTGCGCCGGCTGACGCATGCGCAGATGCGTTTTTTCACAATTTTTTTGTGGCCATCTTGGATTGCTCCATGAAAGCACTTTTCATGGCCAACTCCTATGAACGGCGGAGATAGGCGTGACTCTGTCCGTTAATATATACGGTCTATGGGGATAACTGTTTAAAAGAAGCAAGTTCTCACACCTGAGGGGTGGAGAGAGCGAGTTGGAGTCTGTGAAAGTTAGCCATAGTATCGAACTGTCGTATTTTCTTTTAGCTGGCAGTAAGTCCTTTTTAGGTTTCTCTGTTTTTTTCTTGCACTGTACATATTTTCCCACTGTTAAATTTTTTGGACCCTGGGTGTGTAAATATATATTCAAAAGCCAATGTTTCTCCAACTGAGCCATCATTTTTTTTTACATTTTAAACACACCCAAAGGAAAGAAACTTTTTGGAAACCAATTATATCAAAGCATGCTGTCGTTATTTGATATATCATCTCATTCATATTTATTAGAAAGAATTGTATCTTATAGAGCTTATGAGTGCCCCACAATTTCCTCTTTCTGTCTACAAAATCGGAGAAGGCTGTGACAGAGGCAAAAATACATACATGTGAGAGACGCGTACTATCTATCATGCAACCACACATACCTGCGTCTTTCATGGTGTCTTTGGTCCGATCATCCTGGTTGGTAAATAGCTAGCCACAAGCTAACACCCGTCTTTTTAGCCTGAAGGCAAGGCAAGGCAAGGCAAGGCAAGTTTATTTGTATAGCACAATTCATACACAAGGCAATTCAAAGTGCTGAACAAAACAAGAAAGCAGTAGTTCGGCTGCTGTTGCTTCTATTTCTCTGAGAGAGTCCAGTTGAGATTTCCAAACAGAGTATCCAATCAGGGAGCAGAGTGAGTCATTGGTTTAAGTTGAGCCAACCCTTGGAATGATGGTTGCCTTTTGCCATCAAGCACCATCATTTGAAAGCATGACATTAAAGGTTCCATATTAAGCTTTTCTTCATGTTTCACTGTCCGTCATATGCACATGTGTGATAATAATTTGAGTGATACATCATACAACACTCAAAACTTGTGAGATTATCACCTCAACTCAAACAGACTGATCCAGAGTCTATGAGCCCGCCTCCCCCCGCCCGCACGGTGACAGAAGCCTCATGCTGCGAGTTGTTTATCTCCGGTTTATTCAGACCTTTTGTTTCGTTCCCCTTGGCACATGGGGAGGCAACAAAAAGGAGGGAGGACACGGTTGGTGGTTTGATCCCAAGGCTGGACTAGGGTTGGAGCTGGACTGGACATGGATTGAACCAAAATTGGAGCAGGGCGCTTTTTGCGTCAGTGTTGTTATTTTGGTGTTGAAAATGTGATGATACCTGACATACAATAATTCCATAATTAAAGTGATGGGACAGCTGGAAGATGGCCCTCTCTCCCCTCAAATCACACCTAAATTGTTACAAAACAGATCCATTTGTGTTATTTTTTATTTTTCATGGTGCAACATGGAACGCGGCCTTCGCAACCTGGACCTGCAGACCGATCTACTCCCGACCCGGAGCCTGAACTAAAGTAACTATTTCTCTACAGACCTGCTGAACTCAGTCCTGATCTACAGCCTTTGTTTGTGTACCTTTTTTAGCTTGTGTGTAAGTTTTATATAAAGGAGGTGATCTCTGCGTGTGAGAGGCTTTGACTATTGACAAATACAGGAAGTGCCGTGATGACATCATTCTAATAACACAAGTTACACAGAATCTTAATTTATTTATACATTTGAAACAGTCATTTATCAAACTAACCATACTGTATTTATTTGAATCAGTCAAATATTACTGTTTGTATGATGACGTTTATGGGTGAAGCCAGTGGCCTATAACATAACAAACAATGAACACACAGTACAGAATGTGAATATAAATGCACAAGAGTAATTGTTTAAAATTGGGGTAGCTTTCTCTTATAAATAATCCATATATGTTCTTTGTCCCAAACGAAAGAGTCCTGTAAAAGTAAATAATTGAACATTTCAGGCCATCTTTATTAGAAAACATGTAATCTTACACTTGCTCTGTTACTCTTTGAGCTTTGAGCGCTGAATGCAAGTGAAAACTAGTAAAAGAACCAAACTGTTTTAAGAGAAAAGAGTAAATGGACTTTATCACAATGTAGTTGGCCCAGTTTTAATATACTGTAGCATGAGTCTCATTTGAGTATGTTTTTTTTCTCCCTTAACTTGATGCAAAAAAACTTTGTCCATTTATAGTTGTCTGTGGAAGTTGGCTGAGCGTGAGTTAGTGTGCACTGAGTGGCCTGACTCTGGTTCTATGCAGAGGGGTAGGTCGTGATGAGGTCTTGTCCCTCTGGGGGCCTCATCCTGGCCCGGGCGTGGCTCTCGCAGTACAGCTGGCCTTCCACAAAGAAATACCCCTTCTGTTTCAGGTTCTCGTCGCAGTCGGAGCACACAAAGCAGCCAGGGTGGCGGTATTTGTCCCGCACCTTCACCACAGTGCCGCTGCATGGACAGATTCAGATGAGTAAGTTGCAATTTTCAGCTCAAATCAAACAGTCAAATAACTGAAAAAAATGCACCAGAAACAACCGTTTTTCGTAACTAGAGGTTATGCTGAGAGGGGGGCATGGTCAGTCTGAGAAACCTGCCAGGTCAATCAAGCTGACCATGTTAACAAGGTAATACGTATTCTGTCTTTCAAGTGTAACAAGACAAGCTGGCAGAAAGTATATACAGCAGAAGCTGGATGTCAAAATTCAACATCAACACAATATTTTCATCATTTTTGTGAAGTATTGCATATCTGTAAGAAAGACCCCAGAGAGTCACCGGTAGATTGCACGGAATGTCTCGGAATCTAGTGATAAGCTTCAGGTCAGGAGAAGTGCAGAGTTACAGGTATTTTCAATGTATTAATTAAGGTTATGTCTCTTCACTCCAGCATCTGCTGTAAGTGCTAGTTTCTGAGGGGACCAGATCGTTCAGTGAATAGGTTTGAAAGTCAATCATCTGAACAATGTGTTAGAAAATGATTGCGTACATTTTTTCAGATGATTGAAAAATATCAGTCCAACTGTGATGAGACGTGAAGTCGACTGATGGCATCCCTCACCTCATGAACTCAGAGGGTTAGGGTGTATGTAGGCATTATTTTCAAATTGGTCAGATCACTTTAAGATCCCGACTGCATGCAGATGGGATGCTATCACAAAATATATACATTGGCCACATCACTATAAAGGCTGCAGAGTTTAAAGAAATTGAAAACAAGTAGAGGCTTGTAGTCCAGTAAGAACTGTTATAAGTAACCATACAAATACCCTACAGCAAAAATCTTCCCTCCATTATGTGCACTTTCGTTGTGCTAGGGGCTTGCAGGGGCTAAAACCCTGGGGCCTTTCAAGAGTCAAGGCTCTTCAAAATCAGGGAAGAAAATCAAATAAGAGAAATTTGTTGATTTTTATAATAAACACGATACTTCACCATGATGCATGCATCTATGCTGTCCATATAGTCCTTTCTAGCCATTGGTAGGACTTCATGAGAACAGACGCTATATTCTTGTGGTACATGCCGTGTAGGGGCTTGTAGTTGTTTGTATATTGCTGTATATTATTGTATATTAATTGTATTATTTCTGCAATATGTTTTGATGCAGGTTTTTGCTGGTCCTCCTCGTCGAGTTGTTTAAGATTGCGATTTTGTTTTCAATATAATTTGCCTTAAATATTTTTGATCCGTCGAAATACTTTTAAGTAGGCATCATTTTCTGTCAAATACACACAAAAATATGTTTTGTTTTTTTTTACATAGAAACTTGCATTATGCATCTTTAAGGTGGCCTGAAGGCATAAAAGAGGGCAAGGTTGAAGAGGTATATGATAGCAAATTTCTTGCTTCCATCTACTGCCTGCACAGTGTTGTGATTAAGTTAATGCCACCAGAATGGTTTCTTCTATTCAGTATTTTTTTGAAGAATAGTGAGATCTGTAATGCGTGTGTGTGAATTAGGATAATATCTCAGTAGGTCTTATAGTCACATATGAATCATAGTAGAAGTGGTTGTACACTCACACAATGCCGTTCCCACACTTGTCGCACACAGGCAGCTTCTGCAGGTTCCCGGTGGGAGCGTGGGGCTTTGTGGTGGGGGCCTTCACGCTGCGGGTCACTATCGGCCGAGTGCCTGACAAGACGGAAATGCATGATTATCATGTAGTCATTCAGGACCTCCACTCCACGTCTCTTGAACCAGAAGAAACACTTTCTTGTCACCGTAATTAATTTGCAAACTGTCTCATCAAGCCACAAGAGAGAGCAGTGCATGTCATGGAAAAGAAGTGCGGCTTCTTCAACGTGATCATCATAATGCTCTAACCCCTAGTCTGGATGTAAAGTGACAACATCTTGTACAACTACTACAGACAACCCACACAGAAGAAGAACGTTTTGCACTGTCCATCAGGGTGATCTGTTTTGGAAAAGCCAACAAAAGAAGGCCCCATTTACAGGTCTTTTAAAAAATTACTAAAATATTATATATAAACAAGTTAAAGTAGAAGAGTCGGATTGTCTTTTGTATTCCCGCATTTGTGACATTGTGGGGTATGGCCTCATAATAAGGTTTACCAGGCAGTAGGCAGATAATAATGTCGTAATGCAAGTATTACTTGGATGACTTTAAAGTTTAGTGAACTAAGAAAGAAAGTTCTGAAGTTTTTTATTGTTTACGTAATGAACTACAACGAAGCTCCAGGCCTGCATGTGTCCCCAGTTTCTCTACCTCCTGGAAATGGTGTGGAGGAGAAGTCAAAGTGCAGAACAAAATAAGATAGAAACAGTCACACAAGCCATTACAATCATAAACAATCCTTGTACATTAAAAAGAGTTAGGTTGTATGCACAGCTAAACAGGCTGTTTTTAACCTGGATTAGACGGTATTCTGACTGCTGCCTTGTCTACCTGTATATTCATGGACTCTAATAAGCAACTTGTTTCCAAGCTTTGACCAACTGATTTTCAACGTGTATCTACAGTCTGGTGTCCTATATGCAAACAAATTACGAGTATATAAAGGAATATCTGACAGAGTAGGACCTCCACATCCAGCAGGTTCACCTCTAAGATCATCTGAGACAGCTGCTGAAACAATTGGTTTGCATAACCAAACAATTTCTGCACAAACTGTCAGAAACCGTCTCGGGGAAGCTCAACTGCATGCTCCTCGTCGTCATCGGGTCTTGGCTTGACTCCAGCTAATCGCCGTAACAGGCTTGAGTGGGCAAATGCTAACATTCGATGAGGTCTGGCACGTTGGAGAGGTGTTCTCTTCACGGATGAATCTCGGTTTACATTGTTCAGGGCAGATGGCAGACAGCGTGTGTGGCGTCGTGTGGGTGAGCGTTTTGCTGATGTCAATGTTGTGGATCGAGTGGCATTGTGAATGCACAGAGACGATGAAATTCTGAGGCTCATTGTTGTGTCATACATCCATGAACATCACCTCATGTTTCAGCAAGGGTCTGTACACAATTCTTGGAAGCTGAAAATGTCCCAGTTCTTGCATGGCCAGCATACTCACGGACATTTCACCCATTGAGCATGTTTGGGATGTGCTTGACCGGTGTATATGACAGCGTTCACGAGTTCCCACTGATATCCTGCCACTTCGCACAGCCATTGAAGAGAAGTGGACCAACATTCCACAGGCCACAATCTGATAAATAGTGATGGGTCGTGCCGCGTCGGCGCTTCGGGGCGTGAGCCGAGAAATCCCTGAAGTTTTTATCGGAGCGCGAGCCGATGCCTGAGTTGTTTTAGATGAGTGACGTCACCAATGACGTTTGAAGCCTCGGGAGCACAGGAAATGGAGAGATTCATGAAGTACTGCAGAGGATCCGCTCAAACTTCGTGTGTTTGTCTTGATTAATTTAGTCAGTGATGGAGAGGACTGTAGTATAAGCTGGTTGGCTCAATTGGTAGGGAAGCAGGGCTGGGACCTGGGAGAGCGAGGTTCGAATCTTACCGGGAGCACGTTGATGTAATTACACGTGTAAGAACTTTATCAGAAATATTTTGGTTTTAAACAACTGATGGGGTCACAATCCCAATTGATATCCCCATTTGTGTCACGTCCTTTGAAAAGCACTTACACTTTCAACATGTTTTTTGTCCTTTCGGATTTATAACATTGATTTTGACTTGACAAGCTATAATCATTCATCATTAAATATATGTGTGTGTATATGTGTATGTGTGTGTGTGTTAGAGCAGACAACTGTACCAGTTACCAGTACATTGTAATGTTATTGTCATTTAAAATATATTAATTTTCACTAATGATATTGATTATAATGAAACAAATGAATTAATGGGTCATACACAATCACATTACATTATCATTTCTGTTACCAGTATTAATTCCTATGCACCAAGAGCCTCACTAACAGTTCAATTGTCAATACAGATTTTGACAAACAGGAGGTTTATGAGCATATGAAGCATCAAGAAATGAACCTTTTCTCGAACCAATGGATGAAAAGGTTCAACACTTCATGAAGCTTCATCAACCCATCACTACTGACAAACTCTATGCGAAGAAGATGTGTTGCCCTGCATGAGGCGGTCACAGCATATACTGAGTCCCCAGACCCCCAAAAAAGCAAAATAATGCACATTTTAGAGTGGCCTTTTATTGTGGACAGTCTAAGGCACACCTGTGCACTAATCATGATGTCAGATCAGCATCTTGATGTGGCACACCTGTGAGGTGGGATGGATTATCTCAGTATCACACATTTAGACAGATTTGTGAACAATGTTTGAGGGAAATAGTAAAATTGTGTATCTGGAATGAATTTTAGATCTTTAAGTCATTTAATGGAAAATGGGAGCAAAAACAAAAGTGTTGCGTTTATATTTTTGTTGAGTGTATGTATGTACTGACGCAATAAAAAAAACACAATATTTGATTTATTTTTATCCTTATTTTCACAAAGCACATGCGTATTTGTCCTAGTTTTAATGCACGAGATAACATCTCATGAAGAAGGGGTAGGAGTCCACAAAGCTTTCTTGCTTCAGACTACCCCTTTTGAGCTTGTACCAAGTATGTAACTTGTAAAGTTGTCCTAACACCAGAATGTAAATAGCTTAAACAAGCAAGGCAAAGAATTTAAATTTTTTATATTTATATACACACACAGATCATTCCATTTATCTGAAGAAAAGCCCACTAACCAAGTTTAAGATTATGAGAGTTGAAACCTCTGACACGCTTTCCTTCCCATCTTTCTCTTCTTTCTTCTCTCGTAAAATAAAAAAATGAAAAGTGTGCCTGGCTTTTATTCAGTGGCCCTTGAATGAAGGACGTTGATTATTCGATAAAAGATTCTAAACCGGAGTTCTGGCTGAAGTCAGGTCTCATCTTTGTGAAGGCCACGGCAGTAGTTATACTGTATATTTATAGAGAGTTTGCGTATGTGCTGACGTGATTGTAACGTCAAGTCTGCTCCACACTATATAACTGAAGTAAGTGTAAATGTAAGTGTATTCAACCAGTGATGAATGAGCATGACTGAGCCAATCCATGCATGAAGCTAAAAATGGCCAATGTCTTTAGCCTTAAGTCATTACTGCGTAAAGGAGATCATCTTTAAACATATTTATAAAATACTGAGGTGAGGGCGTAGTAAAAAAACAGATAAATAAATGCAGGTAAATATTGAATTTTTAAAACTGAATATTAATTTAGACACAATTATGATTATATTTTGCTCGTTGGGGTCCGGTCTGCCTTGCCGGTACTTATTTTCTGATAATGACCTGCGTTCTATACATTATCCCTTACTTAAAGGAGCTATACCCGTTTCTGCAGGTTTTTTTCAATTTGAATGTTCAGCACTGCGCCCAACTCGCTCACAGGCTTTTCATTTCTCCTACGCTCTCATCCCACGGAGCCATCTAGTTTTATTTGCGATATGATCTATATGCAAACATTAGCATGAGCGCAACTTCTTGTAAGCTGTACAACAATCACTGATGAAATGCAAAAGCAACGCACTGCTAACAAAATATATAACTGAAAGATCACCACTAGTTTTGCGTCCAAATGTAGTCCGAGGCAGTTCCGCACCCGCCGGTCCCTCCCTAAAGGGGCTTTCACACAGGACTTAACTTCGACTTCAAAAGCGTCAGGTTTGCATTAAAAGTGAATGGTGAAGCGCGTCAGGTGACGCCGAGAGGCCCGGCGTCACTTGGCACGCGTCATAAGCTTCAAAATACGCAAGTCACTCAAAGCTTTTGACGCGCGTAACGCGTCTCTTTCTGCGTCAAGTTGAGCAAAGTTGAGCTTTTGAAGCTTGATGCCGGGCTTCAACCAATCAGGAGACGAGGAGCAGCAGCAGCAGCAGGGCTGTCATGGAAAGAAGTATGTAGCTGCTACTGGTTTATTGTCATTAATGTTATTAGTCATATTATTTGTATCAGTAATAACGTTCTTAATAAGTAACAAAATAAATATACACATGCTGGGAAGTAAAAGTAACTTATTTAATATAAGAACAAGCTGACGCTGAGTCTGGCTCAAACACAGCAGACTGCTGAATATAATATAATATGAATATAATATTATGTTTATAATAATATAAATAATGTAATATAATAATTACGTTTGTATTTTTGTCCCAGTCGTTGACAGCATCAATCAAAATCAAGTTACGCAGCTTACATCACGCACAACTACAAAATGTGTCCTGCTGTGGCTTTCTAAAGCTAAAGTTGTTTGGAGGCTCCAAACAAATACCTGCTTTAAATGAAACGTGGTTAATATAATGGTGCGAAGACTGCAGAGGGAGAGAGGGCAGCAAAGAACACCACGGTAAAGAGGCCCGGCTCTTCGGAGTCAGCGGTAAAGAGGTTCGCACATCAAAAGCAGGTGACCGCTTTATGCTGCTACTAACTTTTTACCGCAAGTAACAGCATAAAACGGCTACACGCTTTTAATGTGCGGACCTCTGAACCGCTGATTCTAAAAAGCCGGGTCTCTTTACCGCGGTTGGAGATCAGTGAGGGCGAGCCGCAAGAAATGCCCTCCACCTCTTCTAAGGAGGGAGCCCACCAAGCCCATCATTTGCGTCACTACGCGAGTAAAAATACTCAAGCCTCCTTCTTTGGGCTGGCGAGTG